CCATGGTCAGACCGTGAGTGACTTCCTCGGGCAGAGGCCGTGACGACTTCTGGTTTCTATGCCATCCAAACATACCCAGCATGGGGCAAGCCCTCAACAATTCACACGAGGCTCTAAAAGGGGAACTGGATCGTCGCCCTCCTCTACCTCCCTGACTTCCTCCTGCCTTGGGAATAAAATTCACTTTCCCCAAATGGACTCCCAGGCCCTGCAGGCCCGGCCCCTTCCCACTTCTCTCCTCTCCTCCAGGGTGTACCCTCCTGTCCTGACTCACCCCTGTTCAACCTCCAGGCTTCAGCCTGAACCCCAGAGAGGCCCTCCCACCCAGTAGGAGCCAGATCTCCGCAGCTATTCTGGCTCTTTCTTGGCGGCCCGGCTACCACCTGGAATTACACAGGTTACACAGGTGTGCGTGTGATGACTTGTTTGCTCTGAGTCCCCAGCACCGCACCTTCGTCAATGTTTACTGAATGTTTAGGTTACAAGAAAGAGGGGATTAACTATGCACATGTAGGCCCGGAGCAGTGGCTCACGCCTATAATCCCAGCAATGTGGGAGCCCGAGGCGGGTGGATCGACTGAGCCCAGGAGTTTAAGACTAGCCTGGGCAACATGGTGAAACCCCCATCTCTACAAAACATTTAAAAATTAACTGGGTATGGTGGCTCACACCTGTAGTCCCAGCACTTTGGGAGGCTGAGGTCGGCAGGTCACTTGAGCCCAGGAGTTTTGAGACCAGCCTGAGCAACATGGTGAAACACTTATCTCTACAAAAAATTTGACCAGGCACAGTGGCTCACACCTGTAATCCCAGCGCTCTGGGAGGCCAAGGCGGGTGGATCACCTGAGGTCAGGAGTTCGAGAACAGCCTGACCAATATAGTAAAACCATATCTCTACAAAAAAATACAAAAATTAGCCAGGTGTGGTGGCAGTCACCTGTAGTCCCAGCTACTTGGGAGGCTGAGACAGGAGAATTGCTTGAAACTATGAGGCAGAGGTTGGAGTGAGCCAAGATCGCACCACTGCACTCCAGCCTGGCAACAGAGTAAGACTCTGTCTCAAAAAAATAATAATAAATAAATAAATAAATAAATAACCAGGGCTGGGCATGGTGGTTCACACCTGTCACCCCAGCACTTTGGGAGACCGAGGTGAGTGGATCACCTGAGGTCTGGTCAACATGGTGAAACCCCATCTCCACTAAAAATACAAAAATTAGCTGGGCATGGTGGCGGGCACCTGTAGTCCCAGAAACAAAAACAAAAATCTAACTGGGTATGATGGCTCACGATGGCTCACGCATGTAGGCCCAGCACTTTGGAAGGCTGAGGCAGGAGGATCGCTTGAGCCCGGGAGTTTGAGATCAGCCTAGGCAACATGGCGAGACCCTGTCTCTACAAAAAAATACAAAAATTAGCTGAGTAGGGTGGTGCACACTTGTAGTCCCAACTACTCAGGAGGCTGAGGTGGGAGGATTGCTTGAGCCCAGGAGTTAAGGCTGCAGTGAGCTGTGATCGCACCACTACATTCCGGCTTGGGCAACAGAGCAAGACCCTGTCTCAAATTAAAAAAACCATCCACAGGTAGCCGCAGCCCCCCAAGCTGACCCTGACCCTGTTGAAGTGGGGGCTACTGGATAACAGAGAAAATGAAGAAAGAGCCCAGGCGTGGGCGGTCACACTGCCATCCCAGAGGCCAAGAGGACACAGCTCTGGGAAGCCCCGTGCTTCTCGGACTGAACACCCAATTGGTCTCCTGCCCTCACCAGGGGGACGAGGGAGGCATCTGGCAGCCAACACCTGGAGGATATTGTGCAAAACCCATCACCAACTTCCTGCACCCAGGTCCCCAAATGCAGCCTGCCACCTCTCCCAGCGGGCAAGGAAGAACAAGCTGAGGGGCAGCCGAGAAATGAGCCGTTTCCTTCCCCCTGCCACCTCCCCAGGCTGGAACCCAACACCACGTCTGTGGCCAGATTCTGGCTGGAGTCCTGAGAAAGAGTTCTAAGAATCTTTCAACAGGTTCAGGCAAATTTTCTTTAGAGAACAAACCAAAGCATCGTCCTAGAGCGACATGAAGCTGACAAATTTGCATCTCATCAGCCGGACATGGCTCAGCCTTTCACAAGTCTAATTCAACACATTCAAAAAATGGCCTCACTGCTTCTCTGCAATTCAGCCATGCACCAAGTTTGAAAATATCAGACCGGGCCGGGCGCGGTGGCTCAAGCCTGTAATCCCAGCACTCTGGGAGGCCGAGACGGGCGGATCACGAGGTCAGGAGATCGAGACCATCCTGGCTAACACAGTGAAACCCCGTCTCTACTAAAAATACAAAAACTTAGCCGGGCGAGGTGGCAGGCGCCTGTAGTCCCAGCTACTCGGGAGGCTGAGGCAGGAGAATGGCGTGAACCCGGGAGGCGGAGCTTGCAGTGAGCTGAGATCCGGCCACTGCACTCCAGCCTGGGTGACAGAGCGAGACTCCGTCTCAAAAAAAAAAAAAAAAAAAAAGAAAATATCAGACCGAAGCCGAAACCTTCACCCTAACTTCACCAGGCACTCCCAGACAAGCGACGTGTGGAGATTTCTGGCCTGAAAGAAAACTGGTTATGCGGACTCCAAGAATCAAGGAGCAGTGCGGCCAGAGAGATAAGCTGTGTGGAATCAGCAGGCTTCCCGCCCGGGACGCGGGCTCAGCAGGTTTGCCAGATAATCAGAAAAACCAAATCTGTGGCCTTGCGCAAGACAGAAGATGGCTCTGAGTTCAACCCACAATCCTGACCCTTCACCTTCACTTTGGTTTAGAGGAGCAACTTGTCAAGTCTGCCCAGGGCTTAAAACACCAACTCAGCACCACACTGGCACAGTCTCTGGGACTCCTCCCACTTAGACAGAGGAAGAAGCCAAGGTTGAGGCAGGAATGAAGGGACCAGACCCAACTCTGCCAAAACCATACTATCAATTAAATCCGTGGACAGTCTATGAAAAAAAAAAAAAAAAAAAACCTCCTAGAATCTGACCCTCTGGACACCCATGGTGGTGGAAAAAAAAAACAAACCACCCTGCCACAACAGTTCTCTGGTCCTGGCCGGTGAAGCACGAAAAGCTTTCTCTGAGGCCAGGTGTGTGGTCAAGCTGTAATCCCAGCACTTGGGAGGCTGAAGCGGGGCGGCTGGAATCACGAGGTCAAGAGATCAAGGACCCATCCTGGCGAACAGGTGAACCTACGCTTCTAACTAAAAATAAACAAAAAAAATAGCCCGGTGAGGTGGCCGGGGCCCCTGTAGTCCAGCCTACTCCGGGGCTTCGAGACAGAAATGGGCGTGGAACCTGGAGGGGCAGAGCTTGCAGTGCAGCAGATTGGGCCACTGCAACTCCCAGCCTTGGGCAGCAGAGGCGAGACTCCAACCAAAAAAAAAAAAAAAAAGCTTATCGGGGATGATGACTCCTTTTCTGGCTTTTTTTTTTTTTTAAACCCTGTGTCCAGCCTGAAAGAGCCCACAAGAGAGGGAAGCAGGGAGGGTCACGATCTCTAAGGGAGGAAAGGAAAGGAGAAGCAGCAGCAAACACTCCAACCTGTGCCTTTCCGGGACTGGCATTAATCTCCTAACATCTCTTGGGCAAAGCAGAAAGCTTGTTCAGGGAACAAGGTCTGACTCTTCCCAACTCCCAAGATTTCTTGCTGATGTGGGGAAAGGCCTGCCAAGAACCCTTAGGCTGTTAGGAAATATTTTTGAGTGGCTAAAGGCTAAAGGTTAGTTATTAATGATATACTTTCTGTCCTCTCCCCGCGGCCTCTGCATTCTCCTGCTTTCTCCTGCCCTGAACCTCTCCAGCTAAGCCTCCCTCCCTAGAGACTGGGACACACAGGAATCTCCGGGGCCGATCAGAGAAGGGAAACAGGGAGGCTTCCACAAAGGATTACACCCAGCATGAGCTGGTCCAAAGCTTTCTCTTCCTGCAAAGAGCTCTAGAAAGAAAAGGCCTGCTGCTGGGGACTCAGGAAGTCAAACCTGGGCTACCTCCATCTATGGGCACTGGAGCACTGGCGAGAGAGATTATGTGAGCTCAGCTATTATCAGTTACCGTTAGGATCAAGGAGGAGACAGAGGGAAACATTGCCTGTTAAGGTTGCCTAGGAAGGAGGGTAGGAAGCTAGAGGCTGGGGGCTGCTGTGGCCCTCCTGTGGGGCTGAACCTCCTGCCCTGTAGTAATCAGGATCCTCCAACAAGGTATGAAGGTGTGAAGGTGTGTGCGTGTTGGATGGTGCAGACGTCATGCAGAGAAGCATCCTCAGCCTGCCTTCAGCAATTCCAGTGGCGAGGCAAAGAGGAGAGGACACGCCTAGCATCACTTCCATAAATGTTCCCTTCTCCTCTTCCCCTTCATCCTCACGGGGTTGGAAAGCCACGGAGATGTCCTCAGAGCCCCTGTCGGGAAATGCCCTTTGGAGAATCACAAGGCAGCAAAAATAGACAAGAAATTGTGTCCAGCAAGCACTTAGGAGACTCCACAACGGCCTGAGGAACGTCTAGATTCTAGATGAACCCTCCCTGGGCTGGAGGCAAGGCCACTTCCTCTCCTGCTGCACCCCCGCCCCTAAATCAGGAGTTCCTCTTTCTCACAAGCAGAGAGCAACATGTTTACTACCAGCCAAGCTATGTTCCAGGAGCGGGGAGGAGAGGAGAGGAGTCCAGCAATGTTCCTAGGGGGTGGAAGGAACACCCTGGACAGCAGGTGGGGCTCTGGGTGGATGGCAGGCCCAGGCTCTGTGGCCTTGCGCAAGACAGAAGATGGCTCTGAACCTCGATGTCTTCATCCACAAAACAGGGGCAATGACAAGTACCCGGCAGGGCTGGGTGAGGATCAGATGGGCCTTTGGATACCCGAGCGGCACTGGGCAATGCAGTGCTGTGGCATGCGAGGTCTTCACCCCCATCCTGCCCCCTCCCAAAGCCCCGGCTCCAGAAGCCCCCCGCAGCCCCAGGCGCCTGTCTCACCTGGCTTGGTACACAGGTAGGAGTAAAAGCCCTCCGACTTGAGCATGATGAGCAGCGAGCCCCAGCCCAGGAGGACTGCCGAGAAGAGGAGGTTCTCCAGCACGGCCGTGCAGGCCATCCACCAGCGGCGGCGATGGGCAGTGGCCAGGGTGGGCGCCATGGTGCGGCGCGGCGCGGCTCCGGGCTCCGATTCCGGCTCTGCACCACCTGCGCACAGACCTCGGCGTCAGCGGCCGGCCCTGCCCAGCCCCTGCGGCCGCCCCCCAGCTGCCCCGGCCGCTGCCGCAGAGCTCCGGACTGTCACTCCGGCCGCGGGGGCCGGTGCGCGCTGCAGAGGAGGCGAACCCCAGCCCTGCCCGGACCTGGGCCACCCCGACCCCGCGGCCGGCTCGTACCGCTGCCCTCCGCTACGACAGAGCCGCCCTGGCCAGGCAGAGAGACGTCTCCTGCAGCTCACTCCGAGGTAAACTGAGGCATGGAGGCAAGAAGAAGCTAACGCATGCTGAGGGCCGTGGAACTAGTCCTGGCCTGCAGCAGGACTGACATCGCCTGGGGCCAGCATGGAACGCAGCGTAAGGTGGGCAGGGGCAGATCCGGGGGCTGCCTCTCCCAGGAACCCTGACAGGTGCCCTCCCGCCCGCGCCCGAGACCCTTCCCCAGAGCTGGTTTCTTCAACCACAAGATCAGCGCCCAGAGCTACGGAACGGCCCGCCCCGGCGCGCTCATTGGCCGGACGGCGCAGGAACTGCCGCGCCATTGGCCGCCGTCTAGGTCGCTAGGCGCTGCGGCCACGCGAACCCGGCGTGGGAGACGAGAAGCCGGTTCAAACCGGCGGCGCGAGCCAGCCCGCGACCCCCATCCCGGGCGTTCCCCCGGCAACCCGCCCGTTTCCATGGCTTTGGAGCCCCGCGCCTCCATCCCCAGCCCGCATCTGTTCGTCATCTCTTTCCTGGAGGCCCCTCATCGCTCCATCTCTCTCCTCTTATTCCCACGTTTTCTCCCTGCGCCCCTTCGGCGGGCGCTTCTGCCCCCGTGCCCTCGCCCCGGCCGCGACCCCCGGCTCCAGCTTACCCGGCTCCTCCGGCGTGTGTCGGGCCCGCCCGGCGCCTTTTCTGCCCTCTTTTATTCCAGCCCTTTTATTCCGACCCCAAGAAGAAAACACTGCCGCCCGCTGATTGGCTGAGCGGGGCTGGAAACAGGCGTCGGCCAATCAGCAGCCAGCCCCCCGCCCGCCCCGCCGCGAGCAGAAGCCGGTTCCGGCCGGACTCTGAGACAAACAAGAGAGATGGGGGGCGGGAGGGGCCGGGGCGCTGCGGGCTCTGCCGCCTTCAACTTGACCGAGTCACGGCGCGGCCGGGAATCCCCGGCGACATCGCCCCGCGACCTCTCCAACGCCCTGACCCTGTGAGGCTGGGGCTCCGGCTCCGCGTCCCGGACCCCCGCGGACTCCCCCGCGAAGCCGCCGGGCCACCAGCGCCCCCAGCTGGGCTCTCCCGCGGCCGCCCCGCCGTCCCCAGCTGCCCCCTCGGCGCGGGTCACCACGCCCAGATGCGCCGGCTCCGCGCCGTGGTTCCGCTCTCGAATCCCCACCCCGCTTTCTCCCCACGAAGCGCCGCCGTCCCCGCCGCCTCGGGCTTTGGGTCCTGGTTCCTCGCTCCCCCGCCCCGGTGGTTCGCGTCCCGGCGTGTTCGGGTCTGGGATCCCGGACCCAGTCCAGCCGTGGCGCCCCCTGCTGATGCACCGACCTGGTGCCGTCTGCCTGGTCCCTGGAAGTTGGCCCTTGGAAACCTGCAAGGGGATTTGGGGCGGGTCTTTCCCGTCCTAGGATGGGGTCTCCTGAGGTCCCCCCATCAGACTGACCTTTCTCCGCCCGTGTTCACGCACTGCTCGGTCCCCCGGGGACCTTTCACCCTTGATGGTCATCTGGGAGCTCCCTGCCCGCGGTGAGCCCCACCCCCCACCTTCACCCCGTTCCACCCACGTCCACCGGCTCGTACAAGCCTGCGAGGGTTCGAGGGGGTCCGGGTCCCCGTCTGATAAGCCCGGGCTCCGAAAGCTCAGCTGCCCGTCTTCGTCCCCCAGATCCGAGGCACTAGCCCGAGCTCGGAAGACCGTCTGACTGCCCCAGAATCTGCTTGGTCTCCCTAGCTCGTTCCGGGGGGCTGGCTTAGCATCCCAGGGCTGCGGCGCGGTGTTCTCATCTGGAATCCCAGCGGTTTGGGAGGCTAAGGTCGGAGGGCCACTTAGGGTTAGGAGTTCGAGACCAGCCTGGGCAGCATGGCGAGACCCGTCTCTACCAAAATAAAAAAATAACCAAAAATAGCCGGGCGCGGTGGTTCACGCCTGTGATCCTAGCACTTTGGGAGGCCGAGGCGGGTGGATCACGAGGTCGGTAGTTCGAGACCAGCCTGGCCAACATGGTGAAACCGGGTCTCTACTGAAATGCAAAAACTAGCTGGGTGTGGTGGTGCACGCCTGTAATCCTGCTACTGGGGAGGCTGAGGCAGGAGAATGGCTTGAACCCAGGAGACGGAGGTTGCAGTGAGCCGATTGTGCCACTGCGCTCCAACCTGGGTGACAGAGCAAGACTCCGTCTCAAAAAAAAAAAAAAAAACATAAAAAATGAAAATAAATAAAATAAAACCCCACCACCACCCCAAGGCTGTGGGAGCCCCAGACGCCTCTTGCTCTACTTGCCCCAGTCCGAGTGTGCCCCTACTGTCCAGAATCCGCCCAGGCCACCTGGCGAGGGCAGCCTCCCCCAGACAAGGCTTGGTGCTGTCAGCCTGCTGGGGGGCGGCTCCAGCTGGTAACCTACCCCGTTCCTCACCGTGTGAACCCTTCCCACTCACAAGGTTTCAACTGCCATCTGAAAAATCTCTTCCTTCACCCTTTCCTCCTCTTTGAGCAGCCTGAGGGCACTCCGGGGCTCAAACACATCTCAAATATCCCCCAGAACTGTCCTCTCCATTTTCTCTCAGATAACCACACTACTGTCTACTGAATAGTTAGATACCAAGAACCATCTCTTTTTTTCTTTTTCTTTTTTTTTGAGACAAGATCTTAGGCACCCAGACTGCTGGAGTGTGGTGGCGTGATCATAGCTCACTGCAGCCTTGACCTCCTGGGCTTAGGTGATCCTCCTGCGTCAGCCTCCCAAGTAGCTGGGACCACAGGTGCGTGCTACCACGCTTGGCTAACTTTTGTATTTTTTGTAGAGATAGGGTCTTGCCCTGTTGCCCAGGCTGGTCTCAAAGTCCTGGGCTCAAGTGATCCTCCCACCTCGGCCTCCCAAAGTGCGGGGATTACAGGCATGACTCACAGCGCCCTGCTGAGAACCATCCTTTCAACAGACATTGGTTAGGCAGTCGCTGTGATTCTGCCTCTCCCTCAACCCATCCCCATCGCACTGATACACCTGTATCTCCTACATATTTACCTAATCGGTCCATCTGTGCCCTTAGGCCCGGAACTGCTGTTGTTGAGCCACCTTCAAATTTCAGCTCCTCAAATCCAGCCCCCATCTCATCCCAGGGCACTAAGGGAAATGTAAATGTGACCTCTGCCAAAATTCTTCAGAAACTATTATTTGTAAAACAGGATAAAGTTCCAGTTCCTGGCTGGGCACGGTGGTTCACGCCTGTAATTCCAGCACTTTGGGAAGCTGAGGTCAGAAGTTAAAGACCAGCCTGGCCAACATGGTGAAACCCTGTCTCTACTAAAAGTACAAAAATGGCTGGGCGCGGTGGCTCACACCTGTAATCCCAGCACTTTGGGAGGCCGAGGCGGGTGGATCACGAGGTCAGGAGTTCAAGACCAGCATGGCCAGGCTGGGCACAGTGGCTCATGCCTGTAATCCTAGCATTTTGGGAGGCCGAGGCGGGTGGATCACGAGGTCAGGAGTTCAAGATCAGCATGGCCAGGCTGGGTGCAGTGGCTCATGCCTGTAATCCTAGCACTTTGCGAGGTGGTTGGATCAGCTGAGATCGGGAGTTCGAGACCAGCCTGACCAACATGGAGAAACCCCGTCTCTACTGAAAATACAAAATTAACTGGGCATGGTAGTGCATGCCTGTAATTCCACCTACTCTGGAGGCTGAGGCAGGAGAATCACTTGAACCTGGGAGGTGGAGGTTGCAGTGAGCCAAGATTGTGCCATTGCACTCCAGCCTGGGCAACAAGAGCGAAACTTCATCTGGAAAAAAAAAAAGATCTGGGTGATGTGGCACCCGCCTGTAACCCAGCTACCCAGGAGGCTGAGGCAGGAGAACTGCTTGAGCCAGGGAGACAGAGGTTGCGGTGAGCAGAGATTGCGCCACTGCACTCCAGCATGGGCAACAAAGCGAGACTCCGTCTCAAAAAAATAAATAAACAAAATTTTAAAGTTCCAGTTCCCCAATTTGACCCACGCAGGCTCCTCCGTCTCCCTGTCTCTGGAGGACATCTGACCTGCCTGGTCCCAGATGCTCCAATCACATGGCCTGTGGTTTCTGCACCTGCTGTTCTCCTCTAGCTCTCGACAGAGCCTCATTTTGGACAGCACCTCCTCTGGGAAGCCTTCCCTAACCACTCCCCATTAATAATGTTCACTTTATTTGTCCACTGCCGGCACTGTTTTATAATTAGCTATTCATCTGTTTGTCTTCCTCGCCAGTTGACCATGAACTCTTTGGGGGCAGAACGGTGTCTTCTTCAACTTTGTATAACCAGCCCTTGATAGAGAAGCAAGCACAAAGCAGGTGCACAATATGAGTTTGTGGAATGAAAACATGAACTCATGAAAAGGGGCAAGAGGCCAGGCGTGGTGGCTCACACCTGGAATCCCAGCACTTTGGGAGGCCGAGGCGGGTGGATCACCTGAGGTCAGGAGTTCGAGACCAGCCTGGCCAACATGGTGAAGCCCCATCTCTACAAAAAGTACAAAAATTAGCTGGGCGTGATGGTGGATGCCTATAATCCCAGCTATTCAGGAGGCTGAGGCACAAGAACGGCTTGAATCTGGGAGGCGGAGGTTGCAGTGAGCCAAGACGGAAAAGAAACTCAACCTTAGAATACTCATAGAAACTTAAATTGTAATGAGATATAACTGTTGATGGTTAAACACAAAAACAAATTTTTTTTCTTTTTTTGAGACAGAGTCTCACTCTGTCGCCCAGGCTGCAGTGCAGTGGCACGATCTCGGCTCATTGCAAGCTCCACCTCCCGGGTTCACGCCATTCTCCTGCCTCAGCCTCCCGAGTAGCTGGGACTACAGGCATGTACCATCATCCCCAGCTATTTTTTTTGTATTTTTAGTAGAGACGGGGTTTCACCGTGTTCGCCAGGATGGTCTCGATCTCCTGACCTCGTGATCCGCCCACCTCAGCCTCCCGGGCGTGAGCCACCACGCCTGGCCAAAAAAAATTTATATATACTTTTTAGAAGCTTTAGTGTCTGGGCACAGTGGCTCACACCTATCATCCCAGCACTTCGGGAGGCCAAGGTGGGCAGATTTTCTGAGGTCAGAAAGACCAACCTGGCCAACATGGCGAAACCCCGTCTCTACTAAAAATACAAAAAATTAGCTGGACGTGGTGGCATGCAACTGTAGTCCTGGCTACTCGAGAGGCTGAGGCAGGATAATTGCTTGAACCCGGGAGGCGGAGGTTGCAGTGAGCCGAGATCGTGCCGTTGTACTTGTACTCTAGCCTGGGCAACAGAAAGAGACTTCGTCTCAAAAAAAAAAAAAAAAAAAAAAAAGATTTAGCATGCGTTACTTTATTTTTACCAAGGTGGAATAATGAGATACCCTTTTTTATCTGATCAGATTGAGTGTAGGGACATGGATTCCCCCATAATTTGTGAGAATATACAAATCCAGGCAACATTTTTGGAGACAATTTGGAGTGAGTACAGAAGTGTCTAACTCCCTTACCCTACAACTCAACAACCCTGCTTCTAGGAATCTATTCGATAGAAAAACTTGCACAAATGTAAAAATAAATATGGGGCTGGGTGCGGTGGCTCACGCCTGTAATCCCAGCACTTTGGGAGGCCGAGGTGGTTGGATCAGCTGAGATCGGGAGTTCGAGACCAGCCTGACCAACATGGAGAAACCCCGTCTCTACTGAAAATACAAAATTAACTGGGCGTGGTGTCAGGTGCCTGTAATCCCAGCTACTCAGGAGGCTGAGGCAGGAGAATCGCTTGAACCCAGCGGAGGTTGCAATGAGCTGAGATTGTGCCATTGCACTTCAGCCTGGGCAACAAGATTGAAACTCTGTCTCAAAAAATAAATAAATATGAACAAAGTTGTATGCTATGTCATTGTTTATTGTATCAAAACAGATCAGAACAACCCAACCATCCATTGGCAGGGGAATGATTTAAATAGTTGTGCTAGATGGAATCTCATGTAGTCATTTTTTTTAATAAAGAGAGGTAGCTTTATTTTATGGACATTGAACTATATCCAGGATATATTTTTTTTTTTTGTTTTTTTGTTTTTTTGTTTTTTTTTTTGAGACGGAGTCTCGCTCTGCCGCCCAGGCTGGAGTGCAGTGGCCGGATCTCAGCTCACTGCAAGCTCCGCCTCCCAGGTTCCCGCCATTCTCCTGCCTCAGCCTCCCGAGTAGCTGGGACTACAGGCGCCCGCCACCTCGCCCGGCTAGTTTTCTGTATTTTTTTAGTAGAGACGGGGTTTCACCGTGTCGGCCAGGATGGTCTCGATCTCCTGACCTCGTGATCCGCCCGTCTCGGCCTCCCAAAGTGCTGGGATTACAGGCTTGAGCCACTGCGCCCGGCCAAGGATATATTGTTAAGTAGAAAAGCAAGTTGAGGCCGGCCGCGGTGGCTCATGCCTGTAATCCCAGCACTTCAGGAGACCAAGGTGAGTCAGGAGTTCGAGACCTACCTGGCCAACATGGTGAAACCCCGTCTCTACTAAGAATACAAAAATTAGCCAGGCGTGGTGACACGCACCTGTAATCACAGCTACTCAGGAGACTGAGGCAAGAGAATCACTTGAACCTGGGAGGCAGAGGTTGCAGTGAGCCGAGATTGTACCATTGCACTCCAGCCTGGGCAACAGAGCAAGACCCCATCTCTAAAAAAAACAAAAAGCAGCTGAGAACAGTATGCTAAGTATGCTAAAATTTTGTTTTTGTTTAAAATATTTGTTGACAGGTACACAGAAAAACATCTGAAAGAAAGCACCCAATTGTTGATGAGATTCTCTGAGCACTGGGATAAAAGGAGCTGCCCCTGGCCAGGCGTGGTGGCTCATGCCTATAATTCCAACACT